AGTCCCCAGGGGTCATCCCGACCCCCTGCCATTTGAGAAAGTTCTAATATCTTGTAAATGGTTGAGATCCCCACCCCTAAACCATATATATTCCTATTTGTCATGTCTCGAACATTTGAATGACGTATACGGTCAGTCCCCAGGGGTTCCCCCACCCCCAATGTTCTAATATCTTGTAAATGGTTGAGATCCCCACCCCTAAACCATATATATTCCTGTTCGTCATGTAATGAACATTTGAATGACGTATAGGGCCAGTCCCCAGGGGTTCCTCCCCACCCCCAATGTTCTAGTATCTTGTAAATGGTCGAGATCCCCACCCCTAAACCATATATATTCTGGTTTGTCATGCCAAGATGATTTGAATGATATACAAGGTAAGTCCCCAGGCATCACTAATGCATATAACTTTACTGGACCAAACCAATTTTCACTGGACGTTGCCCAATGTCAGGCGACCCTGGGAATTACGAATTATGGGAGCTTCGTTTGGGAGACTTCGTAACAGCATCCTGTTACAATCATTTCTTGTTCATAATATGTTTTGTCCCTATAAACTGGAAAACTGAAAGCAATTTCATCATCATTTTCTGTATGTTTGAAATATCTTGAGTAGTTTTACGAGATGAACAAAAAGTTTTGTCTTCTTACATCAATATCCCTTCTAAAGACAATTAGTCCTTTGACTAAATGGACTCAAATTTGAACTAACAGCAATTTTATGACTTTGATAACACATTATGAATAGCATGAGATCAGCAAACACTTTCTACTATGCAAATTTTTATTGGATGATAAATGCAATGTATATTAAAATCAATTTCTTCAGGAAAAAAATTTGATGGATACACTTTTTGAAGGAGCAATCAAATATGCATAAAATTTTGTATAGTAGCTCTAAAAGAGTAATGATGTAAGATTTACAAGTACTGTATAATTAACTTTGATTTCAAAATCATAAAAATGTCTAGGAAATTTGTATCAGCACTTGCATGTACTTAGAAATAAGTTTCATTTATTCCAGTTGACAAAGTTATGACAGAAATATGGCCCTTGTCCTTTTCTTACTTTCTACAGGCATTGCTATTCATGTTGTAGCTTTACATGTTGTTATTTTTCTTTTTTTGAAAACTTTATGATAAGTATTCTCTGTTTATACTCAAGTTATTTGTCAGTTATAATGTGTATCATTAGGTATCTGGATGAAAATCTAAAAAAAAACTGTGTTGTGAGGAAAAATTACTTGTGGTTTTTAATTAAATCAACTTAAATACTTGTTTGACCTTAAGATGTTATTTTGTTATTCAGATAAAAATTGTGATTTTAAATGTAGAAGCAATGTTTATCTTTAAAGAACAAAAGATCAAAGACTTTTTTTGAATTAACAAGAAATAGTTTTGAAGACAAGGTGAGGGGTAACCTGGTGTACTGGATCATTGTTAAAAATGGGTCACCCTTTTGTTTTACTGAGTAATTAAATTTTAAAGAATTGATTGGAGCATGAAATATCAGTTCAACCATAATACATGATTTAATTCTGTTTTCTATACCAAATAATGCTGCTGGTGTATCGTACATTGCTGAACACTACAACTTGGTCAAGTTTCAACCTCAATAATGGACTTCCTGCTACAAATTAAAAAAAACTATTGAAATAGCTGACTCAGTATTTTGTTTTATTCAGTATAATAGATTTAATCTGTTTGGATAATCTTATGATAGGACAGTACAGTATAATTCTCTTTAAGATATAATTCTGTCAGCGACCTTGAATTTGATAAGATTAAACAATTAGGTTCCTAAAATACAATATATATATAGTCCTTGATGTTCTTGACCTTATGGTTAAATACATGGCTGAACAGGTGAAAAATACATTTAACCAAGGTTAAATACTATGTAATGATTAAAGGCATAAACTGCATTTTTACATGCCAAGTTTTACCTACATTTATATACATGTTTTAGAAGATGTTAAATGGCTGTTTTTGTCATGGTTTTGTATGTAACTTAGTCCATATGATCAATATTGTAGAGTACATTTCGTAATGATACATGCATGATTAAGGCTTAAGGAATGATTTTATAAACAGAGCCTATATGATCATTTAATGTCTACCCACAGGTAGAGAGTCCATGTCCCAACTCCTTGCTAGGATAACTGGGTAAAACAATTTGGACCACGAAGAGAGCTGCAAAACACTTTAGTGAATTTCAAACTCATAAGATAAAGATTAGATTAAATATAGTATCATAATTACAGCTGAGAATGTGTGTACAGTTCAAGATATGCCTGATAAAGCAGTACCAGTATTAGGTACCAAGTACCATACAAACTTTTAACTTGGCATTTTTTTTAATGAAGGGATAAAGGGAATTGGATGCTGAACACGTGCATTTTCATACAAATTTATGTCCATTTCTACATGTCCTATCCCTCCTCCTTTACCCCTTTTGTGATAGAAGGAGGACACAATATTTCTGCTTGTATAGCAGCCCTTTGAAATGTTAAAAAGAAACTTGGATCAATTCAATTTAAGTTAAAAATTGATGAAGTAGCCTCAGTTTCATAGATGATTGATCACATAATTTGGGTATGAACAAATAGAGATGATGGGTATGATATTAATGAGACAGCAACCCCACAAAACACAGCTAAAACAGGGGACAAACAGTCTGCCACAGTGGTCATGTGCCAAATAACCATTGGTCAAATTTTCCTGATTCTAGGTTTTTTTTCAGTATGGAGTTTAAATGGTAGCTATTTTCAGATAATGGTAACTTAATTTATGTATAAGTCATTCTTGATGAAAGCTGGTCTGACAGTTAAAAGACATGAACAATTAAAGCATGTTAAAGAACCAATGGAATTCATTAATGGAAGAATAAATTGCATAAACCTATAATTAAAATGGATATTAAATAGTTTTAATGTTATTTGCACATTGATACCAATTAACCCAGAATGTGCATAACATTGGTATCACAAGGACATTGAATGAACAAAATAAGGTTAATAGAAGTAAGATGTGATTTCTAATTAGTTAGAGGTTGGTTTGCCATAGAATCATTTCCTGAACTATGTAGATAATTTCTGCTAACTATTTCCACCTAGGATAACCACCTCTGGTGGCCTTGATGATATATAAAAACACTTGTGATTTGTTATAGGCATGCCGGCTATTAAAAGTAGATATATAAACAAACTACCTGTTTGATTATTTTGTATTGATGTACTGATACTTTATCAACTTAATGGTACAAGAGAATGTCTTTATAGATAGGTTTCAAGTGCACATGTACGATTTTTTTATCTTATTTTCAAACAGGATATATATTTATATAAAAGAATTGTAATTTGGCAAACTTGTTTAACTTTAAAGAAAATTTGGCAGCTCAAGGATCTTTTCCTAGCAAGCTGTGTGAAAACTGAACTATTGAAATGTCACTTAATTGAAATAGAAAGGAAATTGGAAAGACATATTTTGTTCTGGAAATAAACTACACATCAAGGTCTGCATTCAGTTAGAAATTTTACTGAGTGAAAAAATTAGTTCAGAGTTGCCCATAGTATCTTTAAAAATGGACTTTATTGGTTTTAATTTCTACATCTAACAGATCATATTGCACAATGCTTTGTTGATATATCAAATAGCATGAAAAAAATCTTTTGGTTTACATCAACCTGTATGTGTCATATGATAGCAAGTCATCACAGATGCAGGAGATTGTGGGTTGATTCTTTTGCTTGTTAACACAAAGACTTAAAAAATTGGTATTTGATGAGACTCCTACTATCATACGGCATACAAAGGTTATCTCAAGGTTAGAGCAAAAATCTGCTTGGCTCAAAGGCAGAATAATGTGCAGGCCTGCAGCCAGGGTGTACTTGGTAAGAGGTGGGGCTATATCACGGATCATGATGCTCAGACTGTAATAGTGAAACTTCAATCTGAAATAACTTTAATAGTATGTTTAAAGGGGGATTCCAACCCTCAAATCCCCCTCCCCCTGGCTACAAGTGTGATGTGTCCATGGGGGATGTAGATATCATATTTTTGCAGTCTGTGACTTTATGAGCTATACCACTATGACTTTTTACAGCTTATTATATGGTATAGGATTAGCTCATTGTTGAAGGCATTATGGTGGTGTAGCTATAGTTTTTCACATCTTTGTCCTTTGGACTTCGGTAGATATTTGTCTAATTGGCAATCATACCACATTTCCTTATTATTATATTCGTAAGATTCCATCTGAAAATTACTATATAAAATTAATAAGTTTTCCAGTGTTTACTAGAGACTTGTTCTATCTTAACTTGATAAAGTCTGGAAGGCAAGACTAAGGTGTGCTGTTTCTGTCTATAGCGTCAACAATGCAATAGTATGTGATCAGGTCAGTTTAAGGGGAACTGCTTGTGATAAGTCAATAGAATTAAGTATGCAGTTGTATTAGCATTGGCATTTCTCATTTCCACAGAGATAAGTTGGCCCTGCACCTTCAGTCGTAGTTTACATGCTAAAAGTATTGCCATTTTAATATCAACAGATGCATTACACTATCCAAATTTCATTCAGGCAAGCCATAACTCTGTAACATCATTCCATTTCCAGGCTGCAACAAGAGAAGTTGAGAAAGATTTCCAGTCAGTTTACTCCCTTTTGTTTCTATTTCCAGGCTGCTACAAGAGAGGTTGAGAAAGATTTCCAATCAGTTTACTCCATTTTGTTTCTATTTCCAGGCTGCTACAAGAGAGGTAGAGAAAGATTTCCAGTCAGTTTACTCCATTTTGTTTCTATTTCCAGGCTGCGACAAGAGAGGTAGAGAAAGATTTCCAGTCAGTTTACTCCATTTTGTTTCTATTTCCAGGCTGCTACAAGAGAGGTTGAGAAAGATTTCCAGTCAGTTTACTCCATTTTGTTTCTATTTCCAGGCTGCTACAAGAGAGGTTGAGAAAGATTTCCAGTCAGTTTACTCCATTTTGTTTCTATTTCCAGGCTGCGACAAGAGAGGTAGAGAAAGATTTCCAGTCAGTTTACTCCAGATTAGTGCTATGTAAAACATACAGGTAAATGAATGTTCAGAAAAAGATTTAAAGTTGCTGTTCTTGTATTTTCTTCAAAATTAAAACATTGGCTTATTCTATCATATGAGAGGAGATTTTTATTCTTTCTGAATTATTTTACTTTATTCTATTAGGTTGATTCTATATTTTATTATTTAAATATATGCATAGCATAAAAGCATTTACATATCTCCTCACTAATTACAATTAGAGTTATTCATAAAACTCATTAGGCACATTGAGTAAGTTGGATCTTGTAAAAACAGCAATGTCTTATTCATTAAAGATTATATTAATTTATTTTATTGGGTAACCATTGATGACCAAAAATTGGTGATGAATGGAAATCCATATGATACAGTTGGTACTTGGTGAGTGGTAAATCAGATGACATATATTTGAATAACCTGTGCATTAACATTACAGATTGGATGCTGATGGAAAAGTCTTAACACCGGAAGAGATTTTGTACAGAGTAAGTATTTACCCTTGGGATTGCATTAATTTGAAGAAACAGCTCAACAAAAAGTGTCAGTATATGTTTACCCTTAAAGTTTGGTTGCTGTTTGAGTTTTTTCTGATATTTAAAATCTTTTAAAAAGCTTCCCTTTAAAAGATCACTACATGTTTTGTCCTTACTTGAAATACCAGCAGTGTTCAAGGACAACTTATAATAGTGAAAAGATCAATCTGTCAAGTAAGGTTCTTAAAGATATAACCTTATTTGGAAAATTCACCATTTCTTAATCTAAATCATATTGGTTACTATTCTCAAAAGTTGATCCTAATGTCTACAGTGTTTTGAACATTGGATAAGTAGTCAAATCAGTAAAAAAAAATTTGCAGTCGTATATTGGTATTATGTCGTCGTCCGAAGACATTTGGTTTCCGGACAATAACTTTAGTATTAGTAAATAGAAATCTATGAAATTTAAACACAAGGTTTATAACCACAAAAGGAAGGTTGGGATTGATTTTTCTCCTCAAGATTTCAGAAATCAAAAAGAAAATTTCTTCAAATATTTTTTTTTTTGAAAAAAAGGGGAGGGTAAAATTTTTTTTTGGGGGGGGGGGAGGTTAATTCACAACAGCGTAGTGTATTGTACAAAAGCCAAAAAAAGGGGGGTGTAAATTTTTTTTTTTTTGGGGGGGGGGGGGGGGGGGGGGGGTCAATTCGCAACAGCATAGTGTATTGCACAAAAGCAAAAATTGAATATAAGTTCAAATCATATAACCAATTATCAGTTATTCTTTGTCAGAAACCTCTTATGTGTCAAATATTGAATTACAATCCAAATTCAGACCTGTATCAAGCGGAATATTGTGTCCATTTTTGCCCCAACTGTTCAGGGTTGGACCTCTGCGGTCGTATCCAGCTGCGTTCGGCGAAGCAATTTATTAATTCAGTATAGACAGTAGTTAGTTGACATAAAGCAAAGAAATCTGTTCCCACCAGTGTTATGGGCAATCTTGAATTGCAGTGCAAAGGGAGCAATTTGAAGGCCACACACTTAAATTGAGATGGAAAAGCCCTTTTTTCTCTGTTTTGATTTTTGTCAAGTTCAATCCCTTGTTTTCCATTAAACAATGAAATAACCCATAAGAAATCATTAAGAATTTGAACTGGCAAATAATTGCTAAAATTAAATATCTATAAACCAATATGTCACACTTTTTTCATACAAAAGTTAAAATATACTTTATCATAGTTTAAAGTGACTATATTAGTATTCAAAATATGGACATTAAAAAGAATTATTGTAGATTTGTAAAGTAGTTACTTTTGAAACAGGAAAATATTCTTAATATTGTATAATTTCAGGCTGTACAAGCAGTGAATGTATCTCATGATGCTTGCCATGCACAGATGGACGTCAAATTTAGGTCACTGGTTTGTTGTGGACTAAAGTAAGTTTAGTGAAAAATCTATGGTCAGAAAAAGTCCATATTGTCCATGACATTTTGGTAAACTTTCAAAACTTTTGCACAGATTTTTGACAGAAATATTTGGAAGTTCTTAAAAAAAAAAAAGTTTTAATAACATTACATCAATTATTGAATAAAAGATCAATAATATAAATGAGGCTGAACAGTCAAATATCAGAAAAATGTACTAAAAAACACTAGCCATAAGGGGGCTTGAAAGCCTAGTTGATTAAACCACAGAATAAAAAATGAAAATGAAGCCACAGCTATGAAAGTCTAGCATATAAAAGTTATATATTATATTTCAAACATATTTCCAGTGAACAGGTCCTACACCTTTGGTTAGAAACTTTGTGTTCCTGTGTTGATATAGTTGAAAAGTGGTATCATCCTTGGTCATTTATGCGAAGTCCTGGATGGGTTCAGATCAAATGTGAATTAAGGTAAGTCTGGTTTCCTGTAGATTGAACTGGTTCCATGTTTTTGCATGGTTGTTAGATGTTGTAGTTAGTGTTGTTTGCCTGTTTGGTATTAGGTGCATGTAACAAAACAGAAAAAAAATAAATTATTTGCTGTTATTTGAAAAATAATATATTATGAAAATAAATAGTAAATAATTAATAAGGTATATCTAAAATTATTTAATTTTATTTCATTTGCTTTGTTTAATTGCAGTGTATTTAAATACGTGGTTTTGATAAATATGACATAAGAGAAGACATTTATGACATAGAATTAGTGTGACATAATTACTCTAGTAATGTGTTTCTGACATCATTTTGGCTTCAGAAAACATCACGAGGTAGTATCATGAGATAGTATCAAGTGCCATGTATCATACTGTGACACACTTGAATTGTTATAACTGGAAGCCATATTTTGGTGATCTTAATGAATTCAGCTGCTGTTGATAATTAGTTTTTGTATCATTTTGATTTACCCATAATAATACCCTTCCTTGGAAATTTTTGATGAAAGGCCAAATTAAATAACCAAATTCCTGAGATTAAAATGAAATACCATGATAATTTGATTAAGCATTTCTGCTCTTTAATTTTACCAAACAATATATGGTATTCAAATTGCATTACTAACTCAATATGCTTTTACTTTCTGAAATTCTTGTTGAAGAATGCACAGTATCATCAATTTATGTTATTTGATAAGTTTATTACAATTTTGGTGTATTGGAAATCAGTGAAGATGTAAGATCAGCTAAATTGGGTCATTCTTTCTGTCTTTAGGTATAATACCACCAAAACATAGTACATCATATTTCATTGCAGAAAAAGATTATGAGTCATAAACATAAATCTTGAGTGTTTAATAGCACCATTCTTTTTTTTATTTGGTATTCCTATAAATTATTTTGGAGGTGACCTGGTTACTTAAACTTGTAAACAGGAAAAAGAGAGGTGAAAATTTGCTTGGTTTCCTTGTGGTGATGGTTTTTTCTTATATGCAAAGGAATATTGTGTGAAATATTCACTGTAACACTGGACAGGATTAAACTTCATCCATGCCAAGTATTTCTTTTTTTTGAAACAAAGATAAATTCTGCACTATTTTTTGAAAAATGTCAATTTAACAAAGAATAATAGGGTGGCAAGCAGTGTAAATTATTAATCTGATACTATTATTGTATTTAGGCCACACCAATTTGATTTGTAGGCTCAAAAAAATATGGGTCGACCGAGTGAAATTTTTTTAATTTTATTTTTTTCTTGAAATTGAGTATTTTTGAGGCAAGTGCTCTACAAGTGAAGCAAACAGTATAATTTTTTATGCCCCCGCCGTAGCAGAAGGGGCATTAAGTTTTACCCTTGTCAATCTGTACATCCTAAAGTTGGTTTCAGTTCTCTAACTTTAGTTAAACTTATACAAAATGCTTATTACCACAAAACACAGATCAAGTGTGAATTTCGGTGGCATCACTTTAACTGTTCTAGAGTTATGCCCCTTTTACAAATGGAAAAGATGCTGAATTTTTCGTTTCCGTTCTCTAACTTTAGTTTGCCTCAACCAAATGTTATGAAACTTATACACAATGATTATTACCACAAAATACAGATCAAGTTTGAATTTTGGTGGTGTCACTTTAACTGTTCTAGAGTAATGGCCCTTTTACAAATGGAAAAGATGCTGAATTTTTCGTTTCCGTTCTCTAACTTTAGTTTGCCTCAACCAAATGTTATGAAACTTATACACAATGATTATTACCACAAAATACAGATCAAGTTTGAATTTTGGTGGTGTCACTTTAACTGTTCTAGAGTTATGCCCCTTCACAAATGGGAAAATTCCTGAATTTTTCGTTTCAGTTCTCTTACTTTAGTTAGCCTCAACCAAATGTTATGAAACTTATACACAATGCTTATTACTACAAAATACAGATCATGTTTGAATTTTGTTGGTGTCACTCTAACAGTTCTAGAGTTATGCCCCTTCACAAATGGGAAAATTGCTGAATTTTTCGTTTTCGTTCTCTTACTTTAGTTTGCCTCAACCAAATGTTATGAAACTTACACACAATGCTTATTATTACAAAATACAGATCAAGTTTGAATTTTGGTGGTGTCACTTTTACTGTTCTAGAGTTATGCCCCTTTACAAAAGGAAAAATTACTGAATTTTTCATTTCCGTTCTCAAACTTAAGTTTGCCTCAACCAAATGTTATGAAACTTATACACAATACTTATTACCACAAAACTCAGATCTAGTACAAAATTGGATAGAGTCACTTTTACTGTTCTTCAGTTATGTCCCTTTTGTAACTTAATATGTAATGCAAGCAGGGCATCATCTGTGTCCCATGGACACATTCCCCATTTATTTTTAAATTGTGCGATTTAGAATTTATGTACATGTTATAACTGGGTTACTAACTTCATAGAAAAACGAGGAGAAACATGCTCTAATGCATATAATTTGATTGATTGGTGCCTGTACCATACCAGACTTTCTTGTCTCACTGTGGTTTAGTTAATTTTGATTATTTTCGTCAAATAAGCTTTGTCTGCATGAATTTTCATTTAAATCCATACATGTATATATATTAAGGAAGCATAGCAGATGCAGTTTTACAAGAGGAATTATGTTAGTTAGGTAAATGACAATTGTTGAATAAAATTAAAATATGTGTAATGTATGCATCCCGATTTTTGACCTTTTATTTACGAATCTATTTATCATAAGTGCGTCGTATATTGGTATGACGTTGGCGTTGTCGTCGTCCGAAGACACATTGGTTTTCGCACTCTAACTTTAGTTTAAGTGAATGGATCTCTATGAAATTTTACCATAAGGTTCAATAACACAAAAGGAAGGTTGGGATTGATTTTGGGGGTTATGGTACCAACAGTTAAGGAATTAGGGGCCAAAAATAAGCATTTTTGTAACTTCCAGACATAACTTGTGTGTTAGTGTATGGATCTCTCTGATATTGTACCACAATGTTCCATATCACAAAGGGAAGGCTGGGATTGATTTTTGGGGTAATTGTCTCCATAATAGGAATTAGGGGCCAAAAAAGGGGCAAAAAACAAGCATTTTTCTAGCTTCATGATAATAACTTGTGTGTAAGTGTACGGATCTTTATGAAATTGTACTACAAGGTTCCATATCACAAAGGGAAAGCTGGAATTGAGTTTGGGGGTAATTGCCCAAAACGTTTAGGAATTAGGGGCCAAAAAACAAGCATTTTTCTAGTTTCCAGACAATAACTTGTGTTCAAGTGTATGGATCTCTCTGAAATTGTACTGCAAGGTACCATACCACAAAGGGAAGGCTGGGATTGAGTTTGGGGGTGATGAATCATAAGGGGGTTCAAAAAATTGGGGGGGGATTTTTTTTTCATTTTTTTTCTTTAAATTTTCCATTTTAAATTGGTTATTTCTGATTTATATATAAAAGCAAATAATTATGATATGGTTTGAATAGGTAAATTAAACATTTTTAAGTTCTTAGACCACATTCATTCTGTGTCAGAAACCTATGCTGTGTCAAATATTTAATCACAATCCAAATTCAGTGCCGTATCAAGCTTGAATGTTGTGTCCATACCTGCCCCAACTGTTCAGGGTTTGACCTCTGCGGTCTTATCAAGCTGCGCCCAGCGGAGCATTTTATTTTTTTTTATTGAAAAGTCAATTTATCCAAAACAGGAGCGGAAAAATCCAAAGGACTAGGAATCAAATTGGTGTGGCCTAAGATAACTTGCACCGTAATGACTGAAATAGAAGATTTATTTCCTTAAAACTTTTCAAGATGAGTGTCACAGACTGCCAAGAATAGCCTAGATTCAACCATTCCCTTAGCATTTCTTACCAAAACAATTTCATTTTCCTAGATTTGAGAACAATTGTACTACATATCCTAATAGACAAATTGATATATTGAATTTGACTCACTGCAAAAGATGTGCTGAACAGTGAGTAGGACTGATAATTTGAAGAGTATACATTGACCATGGTTTGTATTGTAGGCTTCTAGCACAGTTTGCATTTAATTTATCAAGAAACTGGGAACTTGGAATAAAAAAGAGAGCCAGAAAAGAAGTGACTGATTCAGTCCAGGATATCTTGATAAAGCATCATCTATTCAGCTGGGAAATTTAATTGTTTAAAATGTATAACATGTAGGATATGGAACAGTTCTCACTATACAGGCCATTGTAGGATTTATAGTCGAACAACAAGGCTTATTTTTGCCAGAAATACAGTATGGCACAGACTTTTGTCTATGTTCCATGAATAGGTTTCTGTGTAAAAGAATTTTAAAAAAGAAAATAGCAAGCTCTTTAAAACGATGGATCCAGCCTCTGAAAGATTATTCTTTTGGTTTGTTAAACTTTGAAAAATTTTCTATTGGCCTTAACACATATATATAGTATATTTATAGTTTTTAATCATATGATTGCCCCCTGAAGCCATATCAACTTGACATTATAAAAAATAAAAGTGCATTGTCTAATTATACCAAGATAGTTTGATTTTGCTGCCAAATTACATTCACAGCACAATTTGTATGAAGATGTTTTTCTGTTTTGTTTATTTATCCTTTGTTTATGTTGTTATGTTGTTATGTTATACATATTGTATTTATTTTCTCCTCCATGTTTTAAGAGACAGGCATATAGGTTATAGATATAAATTTAGAAAAGAAATATTGTTGTAATTTATGAATCCATCCACAGCTGCATGCTATAATATATGTGTTATTACAGAAAAACACTATAGAAATTCAAATGATAGCATAACATATCTTAACATAACTTTGTTTGCACAGAGCTGACAAATTTGTTGTATGGATCACTAAGTATTTTTTGCTTGGAGCATGAATTCTTTTCAACATTTATTAAAGACAATTTTTTAAGTGGACTATCAAAGTTCCTGTAAAACCCTTAAAAAAAGGGGGATAATGTTGATGATCATTTCCTTTGTATACTACAGCTTTCAATCAAGTAATGATTAAATTGTACATGTGCTTTATATTAATTTGCAAGTTTTTACAATTAATTTAAGCTCAATGCAAACAAGTACAAAGAGTTTGTAGTTTCATTTTCTTAATGAAATGTTTGTATATTTATTTGTAATACTGAATTTCACTATGAATAATTCTGTTATTGTATTAGAACCCATAAAGCACTTCAGAGAAATGTAACAAAGTTTTGTTTGGTAAGAGTAAAATTTTGTTTAGAAAAATTCACACATTGACATGATTTTCATTACCAGTATTTACTTTAACTTTTATACCTTCTCTGTCAGTATGACTTCATCTATATCTTCTTTATAAACATTTGTATATATAAACACCTGCTCAATTGTTGTTGTGAGTAACATGTGTTTTTGTTACAGACTGTTGTCACAGTTACCATTCAGCCTCAGTTTGGAGAAAGAAATCCCACAATCCTCTACTCCACATGTCAAACAACTCAGATCAGGAGTTAGAGATATGTTAATAAAGCATCATTTGTTTAGTTGGGATTTATAGAAACAGATAATTAAGGGGGGAATGGACATAGTAATATAGCTTTAATTGATCAGAGATTATGAGGAAGTTATTAAATGTAAAGCTCTGTACTGTGACATGAATGATTCCAGTTTTCTTGGCATAAATGTTTTACCAAATTTATTGTCAGGTCTAAATCCATTCTTCATTAACGTTGTTTATAAAATTATTGAACGAAAAACTTAATTACAAAGGAAATAAGCTTACAGCAATTTCTATTTTTACTGTTAACAAGTTAAAATCTGTTTTATGTCCCCCCCTCTTTTAAGTGGTGAGGGCATATAGTGTTACCCATACCAATTTTTTGTATTCTGAAAGCCTACAGTTGTCCAGAGTTTTTTGCATATTGCCTGCATCTGTAGTACATTAGTGTATAATGATGACTGGTTGAGATTGTTTTTAGTACCAGTAACTGAATGTTTGTGGAATTATGCTGCTCTTTGATTTAGAAAATTTCATAAAATTGTACTTGTCAGGATTTTAAAGTCATGCTTCAGATCTGAAGCTGCTCTTTTGTACATTAGCATATAATGATGGCTTAAAGATTGAGTTTATTTTTTTTTTCCAGTTGACAGACATTTTGATAAATTTGAGTTTGAATATCAACAGTTCGACTGACTTTTTCTAGACATCAAATACATAATGAAGTTCTCTTTTTTGTCATTTAAGCCACACTATAACTCCATGAATGTATAGCAGCAAGTTTATGTCCCTGGTATATGTCACTTTTCATATGAAATTTCAGAAGTAGGTTATAGGCAGGGACATTCTTGTTGTAAGGACATATCTAGTTTCTACATTTATGTATTGTTGAATGAAATCCAGAAATCCATTTTGTTAATGTAGCTTTACTGTGAGAATATTGTGCTTTGAATGAAGAAAATGTTGTCTGTTTTTATACATTGCTGGTAGCTTAAGTATTCATACAGAAATAAGCTTGTTAAGTTTTGTATTGTGTATGTTATTTCTTTATTTTGTGGGGATTATTTTACTTAGGGTTGTGAGGTTGTGTATTATCTCCCTTAACTTGGTGGATAACAATGTTATGCATTTTGTCTTATTTTAAAGTTATATTTGCAACCTTAGTCAAATTTTTTAGTAGTATTAAAATATGAAAAATAAAAGAAATGAACATGTTTTGAAAACTTGGAAATATTTGTGATGTCTAAATTATTTGCTATTTTTTTAATTCACTACATATAAGGAAATGACACAGTAACATGATATGGACAATTTTGTGATGGCTTTAAGTGTTGTTTATTTGTTCCCTATTTATTGTATGATTGTATAATGCTTTGCCTAATAATACAGATCCAATCTGATTTAAATATAGATCCTGTGTCAAAGCTTTGCTTACAAGGATCTGACATCTTTCCGTTCTACTTTCTGTTTAGGTATTTGTTACATCAGCCAATGAAATTTTTGAAGGATAAAACCAGAGGATCCCAAACAGTCTTTAAAACAGAAAGTAGAAAGGATTGTTGGTCTTGTGAGCAAATACAGGATCTGTAGTTCAATCATATCAGATCTACATTTATTGTACAGTGGCAATTACTAAATGTGGTGTAACTTCATACCTACTTAATCATATTATTTTGTAAGAACTCAATATATTTATGTAAATGATACACTACATACATGGAATTTATTAAAAATAAGGGATTAGGATAACACCTTTTTCTTATTAATTTGTGAAATTTTTTAACAGACTATCCAATAGGATTAGTAATTGGAATAATTTATTTATACTTGTGAAACATAATGTAGTTAAAAGCTAGATTGTATTGACCAAAAGAAAGGAAAAAAAATGCCCAAAATGAACATTAGCATGATATTGTAATATTTCTCATATTTTATATTTTCCAGGTTATTATCCCAGTTTTCCTTCAATCTATCAATGGACTGGGAAATCCCCAAACAAACAATTACAACTTTTAAACCTTTCAAGGATGGTGTAAAAGATATGTTAGTTAAACATCACTTGTTTAGTTGGGATTTATAGATTACTTGAGAGAGTTATAATTTTTACAATGTCCTAGTTATCATTCAAATTCATTGATAGGTTTTTCTTTTTAGCCCTTTCATAAAAATGCAAAGTTCCTTTTATCAAATATTATACAAGGAAAAACTACACTTTAATGATAGAAGTTGGTTGTTCAAGACCAGTGAAAAATAGCTAATCAGAACTATTGTTTGACTTGTTTGCCAAAATTTGTAAATGGCAGCATCAATTTAAATTCATAATGAAATACTCCTTTGTGTTCTGTCTGCCCTATATGATTGGTTTTCAGTTTATTTATTAATGTCACTATATTCATCAGATTTTTTAAAAATTATTAGACTGAAAATAGCAGTTCATGTACCTTTCTGAATCTAGAACTTCTAAGCTACAAGAATGCTGTCATATTTGTCCTTTAAGATGTTTTAAAATTGTTACCAAAGTCACTTATTATCAGTATGCGTGTTAATTTATTTCATCTTTTATCTGAGTAATAAATGTTAGACCAGTCCAGAAGAATCTGTGATAAAAGAGGGATATTCATTTGTCCCCCCCCCCTTAATTGTTACTCATCAAACATTCCATGATATATAAACTGCTTCCCAAAACATTCCATTTATTCGTTTTTTATCTCTTATTTTATTATTAGGGACCCCAACATAGTTTATCATCATACAATAAAACATTGTTGAAATGACATATGGATTGGCCATTGTCATTTATGTTGAGCTATATGGATTGGCCATTGTCATTTATGTTGAACTGACATATGGATTGGCCATTGTCATTTATGTTGGACTGACATATGGATTGGCCCTTGTCATTTATGTTGGACTGACATATGGATTGGCCCTTGTCATTTATGTTGGACTGACATATGAATTGGTCCTGGTGATTTATGTTGGACTGACATATGGATTGGCCCTTGTCATTTATGTTGGACTGACATATGGATTGGCCCTTGTCGTTTATTATCCATTGGATAGCATTATATCTTAGATTAAAATCTCTGTTGCTGTAGATTAAGGAATTCACCACTTTAAACATATTTTGATAATTTAACACAATTTGACTATAGTTAAATCACTCTGACCTACATTTCATGCTTAAGTGATTATAGTCAAAAATAAGGTACCTCATTTTCTCAAAACCCAAGGTGGTATATCAATGATATGTTAACCCTTATTATTCATGTGTGTTTGGTCTGTATCTTACTGTAGGAACATATGATGTTCTTGGGTGAAATTTCATCTTTACATGACCTTTGCATAGTTCATCATGACCTAGTTTTTATACTTGAATAACTTTGGTTAAGTTCTCTTCAGATGTTGACATATAAAAATCAGAAGATGTGGTATGATTGCCAATGACACAACTGTCCACCAGAGATGAAATGACATATAAGTTAACAACTATAGGTCACGTATAGTTTGTGAATGTTTTACACAACTGTAATCCTCTTTTTACTCAACATATTTCAATAAAGTTTACTAAGATGTGACAATGTTTTAATGCATATTACTATTTGGATTTTCAATAATATGTGGAGAGGTAGAAGGTATAAAGTCATCTGAGTTGCCAGTCATGTAGTTCATGGGCTAAACTGTTGTGGTATTTTAACATTTTTATTTAATAGTGCATTTATCTACTCACCGTATAGTACATAGACACTGTATATAAATCTAAAGGATGCACATTTTAGTTATTTCTATACAATAGTAATCGCACTTGTTTTATATCAATACTAACTAAATATAGTGGATAAAGGTCATTTCTTCTCAATACAATTGTTATATAATGATAGAAACTGAAAGCAAACACTGGATTATGGACTTAAGGCTGTCTTTTCTGTAAGCAAAATATATAACTTCTAAGACAAAACAGTTTTTTTACTAGATGGTTTTCTCATTAGCCTCGTTATTTTTTTTTATTCAAGCCCTGGTTTGATTTCCTAGATTTGAACCAGTTTTAACTTTATTCACATGATGTTTCTAGCAAACAAGAGATTTTCAAACTTTTTTGTTGTGATATTGTATAAATAAATGACTTGGCAATCTATCATATCACAAAACATGTATTATAATTGGCTTTCAATGTTATTTTCTGGGACATAAATCATTTTTTGAAACTAGTACTTTTAACATTATTTTATGTTTATGAAGTCATAAAATCTGTGATATATGTAAACATTTGAACTTGATTTTTTTTTCAAATATTTTGTTATAATTTAAATTAGAGTATTTGTAATGAGATTTAATATACACAAAAGACACTGTTACTAAGTGAACATGTTTCCTCATTATGACTTTTTGGAGTAAGAGTGTAGATAAAACAAATCTTACCGCGGAACTGAGATGGTGCTTTAAGGGCATTATTTGCCCTAGTTTTTGGGAGTAGGGGATGGGGATATTATAACTCTTCTCGCTGAACTTGTTGAGTACTCTAACAGCTTTATTTGCCATATTCTTTGGGAGTAGGGGATGAGGGTAACAGAACTCTTCCCCCTGAACTGATAGGGTGCTCTAAGGGCATTATTTGCCCTCCTAGTCTTTGGGAGTAAGGGATGGGGGTAACAGAACTCTTCCCGCTGAACTGATAGGGTGCTCTAAGGGCATTATTTGCCCTCCTAGTCTTTGGGAGTAAGGGATGGGGGTAACAGAACTCTTCCTGCTGAATTGATAGGGTGCTCTAAGGGCATTATTTACCCTCCTAGTCTTTGGGAGTAAGGGATGGGGGTAACAGAACTCTTCCTGCTGAACTGATAGGGTGCTCTAAGGGCATTATTTGCCCTCCTAGTCTTTGAGAGTAAGGGATGGGGGTAACAGAACTCTTCCTGCTGAACTGATAGGGTGCTCTAAGGGCATTATTTGCCCTCCTAGTCTTTGGGAGTAAGGGATGGGGGTAACAGAACTCTTCCCGCTGAATTGATAGGGTGCTCTAAGGGCATTATTTGCCCTCCTAGTCTTTGGGAGTAAGGGATGGGGGTAACAGAACTCATCCTGCTGAATTGATAGGGTGCTCTAAGGGCATTAGTTGCCCTAGTTTTTGCTCCAAATTTATTGTTTTTAATTCAAGATTTTCATTTATGTCCTCAATGATAATAACTTAACAAAATACTTCAGTAGCCATGATGTCACAAAACCATATAGTTATGTTGTTATACAAAGAAACATAAAGTAAAAAATAATAAAACATTAATTTTGGTTGATTTTAAAATATCAAAACCAAGAAGACAATGTATAACATCAACTATCTTTATGAATATTTCCTCTATTATGAATTTTCATGTGATATATGTCCTCAGTGTGTCTCACTTTAAATGTCAAAGCAATGGCAGTTTTCTTATTTTATGTAAAAATGCACAGACTCCTTGTAAATGTATTGGCGTTATAAGGTAATCAGCCTTTACCTTTTTTGTGCAATATAGTTATTATATTATCAGTACTACCTGACATATTCTGAGAAATCCTGTAACTAGTGCAATATTGCTGAAAAAGTCTACAAGAAATCCAGATATTTGTTGAAATGTTTCTTATTTTATTCATATTTATTGTAAAAACAAGAAATTTATGAAATGTTGTAAAAACTGTTATCATGATAACAACAGTATTACAGCCTATTAGATCTTTGTTGTAATCATGATCAGTGCAATCTCATTGTTATTAATAAATATATTTACATTTATTCTGAGTTAAAAATTAATTATGTCACAGTTTTAAACTGGCCAACTGTTGTGTTCACTTATCAATACACTAACCTTCAGAGTAGAGCTTTTAGATGGAATGGTGGACCAGTTTCGCCTAAGATCAAACATTTGATTAAAATCAGAGTTTGAAATATGAATCACATCTTCAGTAAGATATGAGAAAAAAAACAATAAGATATTGAAGGCCATACGATAACCTATAGTTGTGAACTATGTCATTTGGTCTCATGTGGAGGGTTGTCTCATTGGCAATCATACCACATCTTCTTATTTTTAAATATGAGATCTTATTTTTATACGACCGCAAAAATTTTGCGGTCATATATTGGTATCACGTCATTGTCGTCCGAAGACACATTGGTTTCCAGACAATAACTTTTGTTTAAGTGTATGGATTTCTATGAAATTTTACTATAAGGTTTATGACCACAAAAGGAAGGTTGGGATTGATTTTGGGGGTTATGGTCCTAACAGTTCAGGAATTAGGGGCCAAAATGGGGCCCAAATAAGCATTTTTCTAGTTTCCAGACAATAACTTGTGAAATGGTGTATGGATCTCTCTGAAATTATACCACAAGTTACCATATCACAAAGGGATGATAAGAATTTGCTTTGGGGGGTTATGGCTCACACTGTTTAGGAATTAGGGGCAAAAAGGGGGAAAAACAAGGGTTTCCAGGTTAATGGACAATTACTTAAGTACAAAACATAATTTTAAAGCAGTGTAAGGGAGGTAATTCAAACACATATTGTCAAATTACCTCCCTTACACTGCTTGTAAATTATAAAGAAATGTGTTGTCTTCAGGTGATTAGCTGTCAATTTATTTTTATACGACCGCAAAAATTGGTATCGTCGTCGTCGCCAAAGACATTTGGTTTCCGGACAATAACTTTAGTATAATTAAATAGAAATCTATGAAATTTAAACACAAGGTTTATAACCACAAAAGGAAGGTTGATTACCTCCCTTACACTGCTTTTAAATTATGTATAAAGTAAGAAACTCAATTTTCCAAAGAAAAAAATTAGGGGTCACAATTTATTTTGCTAATTCTTTGTATATAGTCTGAAAACAGATTTACTAAGTATTGCACAACTGCACAGTGTATTGCACAACAGCAATCTTCAACTGAATATGAATTCAAATCATACATTTGGATTCCAGACAATAACTTTAGTTTAAGTGTATGGATCTCTATGAAATATAACCAAAAGGTTCAATACCACAAAAGGAAGGTTGAGATTGTTTTTGGGGGTGATGGTCCCAACTGTTTAGGAAAAAGGGCCAAAAAGGGGCCAAAATAAGCATTTTTCTAGTTTCAGGACAATAACTTGTGTATAAGTTTTTGATTGCTCTGAAATTGTACCAAAAGGTTCAATACCAGAAGAAGAAGGTTGGGATTCATTTTGGGGGTAACTGACCAAACTGTTCAGGAATTAGGGGCCAAAAAGGGTCTAAAACAAGCATTTATCTAGTTCTCAGACAATAACTTGTGTTTAAGTGTATGGATGTCTCTTAATTTGTACCACATTTTACAAAAAGAAAATTCCTTCAAAATTGGAGGGGGTAAACAAAAATTTTTTGAGGGGTTCAATTTTTTTTTCCTCAAGATTTAAGAAATTGTCAATTTTCCAAAGAAAAAAATTGGGGGTCACAATTTATTTTGCTAATTCTTTGTATATAGTCTGAAAACAGATTTACTTAGTACTGCGCAACTGCACAGTGTATTGCACAACAGTAAGAAATCTTCAATTGAATATAAATTCAAATCATACAACCAATTTCAAGTTCTTTGACTACATTTATTCTGTGTCAGAAACCTATAATGTGTCAAATATTTAATTACAATCCAAATTCAAACCTGTATCAAGCTTGAATATTGTGTCCATTTTTGCCCCAACTGTTCAGGGTTGGACCTCTGCGGTCGTATCCAGCTGCGCTCGGCAAAGCAGTTTATTAGAAGTTACTATTTAAAAAATGTTTAATAAAGGTAATTTAATTATAGCCATGATTATGTATGTGAAGGAATTTTATTTTTAGATATTACTATTTAATGTTGCTGATGGAGGCTTTTTATACGCCTGTTTACGGGACGTATTATGGTATACCGTTGACTGTCTATCCATCCGTTGTCAACATGTCAGATATTAACCCAAAAACGCTTTAACCAATATGCATGATTCTTTGGTGAATTGTTTATATCTATTGACGTGAGCTCCCTTTTGTTTTTTATAAATTTTGGATTTACCGTTTTCGAGTTTTAGGGTTTTATTCATTAAAAAAGGGGGGATTTTCCAGTTTGTGGATAATAACTCGAAAACAATTTCACCAATTTGCAAGAAACTTTGGTGAATTGTTTATTTCTATCGACATGACCTCCCTTTTGATTTTTATAAATTTTAGACCATACTTTTCCGATTTATTGGGTTTTATTCATTACAAAAAGGGGGATTTTCAAGTTTTCGGACAATAACTCAAAAATGCTTTCAGCATTTTTTATGAAACTTTGGTGAATTGTTTACATGTATATCTATTCAGTATTGATGTAAGCTCCCTTTAGAATTTTATAAATTTTAGATTTTACATTTCTGAGTTGTGGGGTTTTTATTCATTAAAATAGGGGGGATTTTCCAGTTTTTGGACAATAACTCAAAAATATTTTCACCAATTTGCAAGAAACTTTGGTGAATTGTTTATTTCTATCGACATGAGCTCCCTTTTGATTTTTTTAAAATTTTAGACTATACGTTTCTGATTTATGGGGTTTTATTCATTACAAAAAGGGGGATTTTCCAGTTTTCTGACAATAACTCAAAAATGCTTTCAGCATTTTTTATGAAACTTTGGTAAATTGTTTATATCTATTGTTGTAAGCTCCCTTTTGATTTTTATAAATTTAAGATCTTACGTTTCCGAGTTATAAGATTTTATTCATAAAATAGGGTTGGTTTTCAAGTTTTTGGACAATATCCTTAAAGTGCTTAGAGCAGTTTTCATTAAACTTTGATGACTGATTTATATCTATTAAGATAACCTCCCTTTAGTTTTTTTATAAATTTCTGATATAACATTGAGAAGTTATTGTTTGTTTATAGTCTGACAACAGATTTACTAAGTATTGCGCAACAGCACAGTGTATTGCACAACAGCAAGAAATCTTTAATTGAATATGAATTCAATTCATATAACCAATTTCAAATTCTTTGACTACATTTATTCAGAAACCTATAATATGTCAAATATTTAATTACAATCCAAATTCAAACCTGTATCAAGCTTGAATATTGTGTCCATTTTTGCCCCAACTGTTCAGGGTTGGACCTCTGCGGGCGTATCCAGCTGCACTCAGCGAAGCAGTTTATTAATTTTAAAAAAGCATTTTTCTAGTTTCCAGACAGTAACTTGTGATTTAGTGTATGGATCTCTCTAAAATTGTACTACAAGGTTCCATACTACAAAAGAAAGACTGCAAATGAGTTTGATGGTTAATGCTAAAAGGGGAATTCAAAAAGTTTGGGGGGAAGGGGGGTTTCCAATTTTTTTTTTTAAAAAGGGTTCATATTTTTTTTCCAAAAGTTTCAAAATTTCAAATTTTTGAAAAGTTTCAAGAAGAAATCTTCAATTGCACAGTATTGCGCATTAGATTTGTAAGATCTTTGACCACATTTTTTTGTCAGAAACCTATATTATGTCAAAAATTTGATCACAATCCAAATTCAGATAGTATCAAGCTTGAATATTGTGTCCAAATTTGCCCCAACTGTTCAGGGTTCGACTACTGCGGTCGTATCAGGCTGCGCTCAGCGAAGTATTTTATTAAATATGTGAACAAAAGACTAAGAAGATATAAGAACACAAAACAATAAGAATATATGAGAATAAAATCATTAAGAATATATGACAACAAAATGAATAAGAAGATATGAGAATATAGCAATGAAAAGATACAAGAACACAATAAGATGATATGAAAACAAAAGCAATAAGAATTGAGAACAAGAACAAAAAGTAGTTATGAAAACATAAACAATTACAAAATATGACAACAAAATCAATAAGCTATGCAAACAAAAATGATAAGAAGATATGAAAACAAAAACAATAAGAATATACGAGACCACAAAGATTTGCATCTCCAATTTAGGGGTGAAGGGGGTATAGTTAGATGTACCAGAGACAACAATTTCATGATATACTTAGTTTAAATAAATAAAGAAATAGTTTACCCTACATTAAAGTTATACTCTGTTGCTGTCATCTCATGCTAACATTTCTTAATAGAATAAGTCCAAAACATAACTCTGGTGAATAAAAGCCTTCTATTCTATTTGGATCAGACTCCAAAATGTTCTGTGTTTTATTTGGATCAAACAAAGACTTAAAAGTAGCATTATATTGTGCAGACCCCTGGCAGTAAATATGTCTTAATTGTGTAATATACACCTTCATGCATATTGTGCGGGAGGTCGTTGGTTCAAACCCTGGCCTGGTCAAACCAAATACTAAAATTGGTATTTGCTGCTTCTCTGCCAAGCACGCGGCATTAAGGAGTTATAGCAAAGACTGGTTTGTTCGGAGTCAAAATAATGTGTCCGGGTAAGGTGACATGTCTTCCTGCGGACTGTTAACTTGTGAGCTAGCACGTTAAAAATCCATCTCAGTGTGTCGGTCTAGTACAAGGCAGGGTAAATATTCATATTACATAAACATGTTCTCGTCCGAAATATGCATATTAATTTGCCGCTGGACGTTAAGCAACCATCCATCATCATCATCATCATCATCATGCATGTTTTAAAACCTCATATACAGTTTTGTTCATGTCTTAGATATGCACAATCATTTTAGTTGAAACAGAATGATCTGCAGCACTGGTGCTCTCATATTGCTTGCATTTTCCTTAGGATGCTACGGTCCTTTTTCAAAAGTTTCTATCATCTGTTTATTACTAGTAGCTTCACACATTCAATTCCGC